AACTATAACTCCCCCGCGGACAACTCGCCAGTCCTAATGAGTCCTTTCCTTTTCTTTTTTTTTTTATCGTACAAAAATCACATGTGATCTACTAATGTAATAGCTTGTTTATCGAGATTCTCAGCAAGAATTTAACATTTTTATTTTCAAGAAATATATATATATATATATATTAACTGATTGCTCCATCACTTGAATCTGACCATGATATTAACCCGTAAATCAATTGCTTCTTAATGTGTATTTATTATTATGGTGTATATATTTTTGTAAAAGTTTTGTTTTAACTGAAATATTATTTTAAGATGTTTTTAAATAATTTTTATATTTTCTCATTAAAATCATCTAAATCATTTTAAAAAATTAATTTTAATATTTTAATGGTCCAAAATGCACTTTAAAATAAAATGCAACCCAATTACCAAATAGAGCTTCAAGGCCAAAAACTTAAATAATATTAAAAATAATTCATAGCAATAAAACACCTACACTACCACCTCTCAATGTTTAGGGAAAATTTCATTAGCAATGACATTGACTATAAAATTGTCAATGAAAAACCATAAAAACAAAAATCTCATAAGCGTTTTTATTTTATTTTCACCAGCATTTTTATTGCCAATTTTAATATTGATAAAATAAATGATGAAATATTAGCATCTAAAAATTAGATTTTACAGCCAATTTATTCTTCCATTTCTTTCTATGTTTTTGATATTCCAACTTTTAAAAATTCACTAACATAAAAAATAATAAATTAAAAAATTAAAAATCTTGAAATGATCGAGAATTAGTTGAATTGCATAAAGAATGCATTTTTCATAGAAACTTTTGTATTTCAAAACAAAAATAGAAAAAATGGTATAAAAAGGAATCAAAATCAAGTTCCAGCAAAAGGAGTCACTTTTGTTGAAGAAAAATAAGAAATATATAATATATTAATTAAATATTATTAAACATGTGGGTCAGGTCAGCCTAGATAACTGGGTCAGGCATAATCCCAGAAAATAGTGGGTTGATATCAGCTCAAAATGGTTGGGCCGATCTCGACCTAACATATTTTTGGGGTCGGGTTGGACCCAGCCAACACATTTGGGCTAAGCCAATACTAGCCTAGCCCAAAATCAATTTGAATTATTTGCAGAATGTGAATAATAGTTCATGTTCTGCACGCAACCGAAATGGTCGCAAAAAATAAAGCTTGATAGAGGAGCAGCTTACTCGAAGCAGGAGTCTTTGTCGTGATCAAGAGGTTTGGTTGGTGGTTCTGACAGTGTTTTTTCAAAGAATGGTGGTTTGTGTCGTTCACGGGAAAAAGAGAAAGATTTCTGCAAAGGTGAGAGAAAGGAAGAAACAATGGTTGTTTTAGGCATAGGGTGGCCGACTTGTGGTTGAGCTAGCTACCTGTGGTAAATGTGGTGATGGAGAAGCTGGTGATGGCTTTGGTTGGTGGTTATTTTTTGGCTAACTTTGGACTTGATTTTCTCCTCCCTCAAGCTATCAACTCCGCTTTTATTTATAACCGGTGAAAAAGGATAATCTCGTCTACAGAAGAAAAAAAATTTCAACTTTTGATTCGGTTGGGAAGGATCTCAATTGTTGGCTCAAAGTGTGCCTCATGAGTTGTTCAATCTGTAGAAAAAGGCTGCCTGAGTTGGTCTTTTTAGGCCGGCGTTGGCGTCGTCTCATCGTCATTCAGACTGAAATGTTCAGTTGGAGTTGTAAAGTAACTATAGGGGATCAATTTCACGCATGTTTTGTCAAATTATATAGAAGTTAGATGCATTAAATGCATATGAAAAGTAGGTGACTGAACCAGCTTTTTGAAAAAAAATAAAGAAGATAATGAATAGTGACCAGATGACGCGTCGTCTAATCCCCCCCCGAAACGATGCCATTTTAGGTTTGAATTAGGTATTTTACCTAATTTTCAATTTAGTCCTCAATCTTTTAATTTTTTTCAATTAAACCCCTAATTAATCCTAAATTCTCGATTCATGCAATTAAGCCCCTAATGAACTTCAATTAGAACCCTAAAGTTACGCGCCTTTTACAATATGACCTTGGTATCGGGTTTTGTTAATTGAACTCCTAATTGACCAATAAACTTTTAATTTCTTCAATTTGCCTTGGTTTTTATCAATTAAGCCCCTAAATTATGGCAGATTTTTTAGATTTGTCCTTGGATTTAAATTTCTTCAATTTAGCCCCTAATTGATCTCAAAACTTCAATTTTCTTGCAATTTAGCATCTAATTTCAATCACTCAACATGGTAAAAAATAAATTTGGTCTCTTAAAATTTCAATCTTCTCAATTAAGCCCAAATTAGGCTCCCCAATTTAATTTTTCACCAATTAAGCCCAAAATAAAATTAATTTAACCCATTTAAAATACAATTAAGTTCTTGCACTTAATTAAATTCTTCAGTTGGACCTAAATTAATTTTTAAACATAATTAAAATTTAATTTAGCTCATGGTTAAATCAAATTTGCCTATTAAAAATTTAATTATGTCAATGGACTTAATTTTTATGCAAATTCATCCAATAATCATTTGATTTGACCTTGAATTTTATCTTTTTCTTTATTTTTGGGCATAATAGGGTACAATTAAGCCTTAAATTTCCTCTAAAATTATGGTTTGGTTTCCTAGTTTGCTTTCTCTATATTGCCAGCCATTATTATTTTTTGATTTTGAAAAAAAATAATCTTAGAGAATAACCCAGAATTGAGTTATGATAAGTAAGAGGACAAGGTCATAGATGATTTTTGGTCAAGAAAGAGGTTCATCAAGCTTTAACAAGTCCATTATGGAATGTTATTGTTGTCATAATCTTGGACATTATCAATATGAATGTCCAAGCAAACAAAAGAAAATAAATTTTACAAAAGCTTAAGAAGAAATGCTTTTGATAATATATATAGAGAATGACCAAGCAAAGAACGAAGTTGAATGGTTCTTGACTCAGGATGTAATGACTATATG